TAGCCTGGGGCTGGACGCAGCCTTGGTATGGCATAGGGAGGAGGTGGGGACTGCACAGCATCTGTGCTACCATGAGCCTGGGAATACCTGGCCCTTCTCAGCAAGGTGCGGGGGGGTTACCTTGCCTGGATGTCCTCAGTTTCCCCCCACAGAATAGCTGCGCTCCTGCACAGCCTTGCTTGCTGCCTCTTTTTTAGGATGGTGTTAGGACAGCTGTGTGTTTAGCAGCTTGGAGTGATCCCAGCTCTCCCTGATATTAGCCCCTGAGCTATGTTACAGCTTCTCACTCTGAGCTTCAGCCTGGCAGCAGAACAGGGGGAGAGCTGAGGAGGGAGGAAACATAAAGTGGAAATATAACCAAAATGCTCTCTTCTGGGACAAGACTTGCACAGAAGTGTTAATCGTACATGTACAAACCTGCTTACTTGAGTGGAAAAGCCCAAGCAGAAGGGCTTGGTCCGGGAAATGGTCTGTTGGGGGTCTGTTCCCAGTGGGGCCCAGGATCAGCGCTTTCCATCACGGCAGGATCAAGTCACAGTGGTGGGAACCACTGGAAACAACAGCCTGGTCACAGTGGACGTATGTAGCTCCCTCCTTGGACAGCAACTTGGCTTGTGCTTCACTGTCATCCCACAGTCTCCCTCCCACCCCACAGCTGTGTCGGGAACATGGGCATACGGCGTGGGAGAGGTCCCCTCAATAGGGATGGCAGCGGGTATGGACAATCCTGGGCTTGGGGCAGCCAGCGTGGCAGTGCCAACCCCACCTGACATCACGTCTGCGGTGTGCCCCGTCACTGGAGGCAGCCTCTCAGAGGCAGGAGGCCCTTGGGAAATGGTGTGCAAGACAGTCTCCCCTCTTATCCCTAAGTCCTTAACACGGAGTGACTCAGCCTTTGCATCATCCTGGCAATCAGCTTATCTCTCGGTTTGGCTCCTGAACACTTTCTCTCCGCTCCTCTGTCCTGCCTCCCTCATTGCTCCCCAGTCTGACCAAACTGAGCCCCCTGCCTGCGAGCACTCGCTTTATTTCTCGGCTATTCCCTAAATCTGCAGTTTGTCAATAAGCCAAATGCTCCGAGAGTGGTTATTTCTCTGGCCGCTGCTGCTGCCACGCTTTTCCCAGCAGCCTGAGTTTCTATTGTGATTTCCGCAGGGTTTATTCGGAGAGGCGTAGATATTAGTTGATTAAAAAATGCAATTAAGCCCTCAACAACCCAGCTTTCTGGGGTTGCCAGCAGCGACATATTTTTAAGTAGCGCTTAGGTTTTTTCACGCAGCTTGGGTTTGCAGGAAGGTCTTTCAGACCGTTATTGCTTGGGGCTGTATTCATTGCTTTCTGCTTCTTGAAGACTGGGTTTGCTTGGTACGTGTGTAAACAAACCGGCGCGCACAGCAGCATGTCAGGTGTATAGGGAGAGGGAGTATCTCTTACTCGATCTGATGATATCGGGGTGGGGAGAACAGCTTCTCAGCTTACCAGCCTGTCCAGATAGTGTTAAAGGGAAACGTAAATGTCTTGATACGGAGCTACCCCTCGTGTTGCTAACTCCAGTGGAGTGCTGGCACATATATTTGTTGTTCAGGGACTCGTAGAGAGGGAGTGTTGCCGTTACCAGTCTATTTTGACCCTGATCTGTGATTGCATGCACTTTGCTGCATTTCTGCTACTCGTATTTTTCCCAAAGTTGGGGAATTTTTGAAAGATATGGCCACGGTGTGGTGAAGAAGTTACAGTAGAAAGGAAACCCTGAATGCCATTAGACAAATGGGGAGAAAAGAGAAGGACTTTGGAAAAAAATTAATATTTTTCTGGTTTTAGTAAAACCCAGTGAAATAGCCTATTAAGTAATCATTCTGTGTCCAGAGCGATGTCTTCGCGTAAAGAGAAAGTTAAACTGCCCTTGATTTTGACAGGCAAACGCTCTGTTGGGTGGGTACAGTGCCCACTCTCCTCCAGCCTGAAGCGTGAAGGTCTCTTCATGGTTCCTTTATAATGCTTCAATCCTAGAATTGTTTCCAGCGCTTTGTGCACTTTAAAGCAGGGGAGGGACTAACCCAGGGAATGCCAGTTTTGTGCAGCCCTAGACAAGGACGCTGATACAGGTAGTTAATGTCTTACAGTTCTCGCTCTCCGGCTTTCCACGGGATAGCCGTTTCTGGAGTGCGGGGAGCGGAGGGCAGCGGCGCCGTGCTGAGAGCCTGCTTGTGTTGGTAGTGCATTCATGGGATCACCCCAACTTTAGCTCGCAGATCCATAGAACACATGCAGCTGATGAAGCATTAATGCAGTTGCCAGCCAGCTGTGATACCGGTATAGAAAAGTAGGAGCTGTTTTGGCATCCATTTCTTAAAGTACAAAATTTTGCATTGTATAGTCCTTAGGGAGATTTATGTCCTGCTGCTGATTTCTGTCTCACTGCTGCGTGACCACCAAGATAGAAAATGGGTTTTCAATACCAGCCTTTCTAAGGCTGGGCTAAATTCCCTGCTGATGCTGTGTCCTCTAGAGAAGCAGGTTAATTAGTGACTTGAAGCTGGAAATTACTTTTCCATCCAGGTAAATTTTCAAGCTTTTGATTTGACTGTGACGAAGAGTTCTAAATATAAAAGCCATTCACAAAGAGTCTGTTTCTGGTTGTTTCTATCAGTGTGAAACACATTTTGACTTTTCTCATTTCTTTCTATTCCTGCTGTCTGCTTTTCTCCAGAATTGACTTAAAACTTAGGACAAAAGCAAAAAAAACCTGGAGTTATTCATATAGAAAATGTCGTGCAGCGAGTGAACAAAGGATGTTTTAAATTGGGAGTTCTTAAGGGAGCTAAACGCAGGCTTGCTCATTCACTCTGAATTCTCACCTGAACTTTGATATATCATCAGGCCCTCTGAGTAGGAGAGATTGGAAGAAGGCAGATGGGAAGCTGGCTGATAGCTTTGGCGTACCTTGCAAAAACAGCCCTGCGGTCAGCGTTTGGTGGGGAAAACAGCTGTCCAGGTGCTGCGTGGTGCTTCAGCCTGTCAGAGGTTTGTGGAAAATATTAAACATCTGTGGCAGTATGTGCTGGCTGTTCTGAGCAGGATAGATGGAAAATCTGTCCTAGGATTATTAATTAGAAATAACAAGGCACATGGCTGCGCGGAGGAGTCCTGAGTGCCTTCTGTGCCTCGGACAGGCAGGGTGCCTGTGTGGGGCGTCCTGCGAAGCTGCCATCTGCACAGACCAGGGACTGCTGCAGGGGCGATGGCTGGGCTGGTGGAGGTGTGTGAGGACCAGCCTGGGCTCTGTCAGGGCCTTTCCCCACTGCAGCCTGTGCTTCTGCGTTGCCTGTCTTGTTGCTTGTTCTCTGTACCCTCTCCGGGTGAGAGAGTGCCTGGAGTGGCCCCTCGCAGCCACCGCTACGTGAAAGAAGGGCAGAGAAACGGAGCTGGGCTATTTCCCTGTCTGGATGGATGTGGGTAGTTGCTGTGTAATCACATGTTTGCACAGGACAGGGGCAGGCAGAGGGGAAATGCGCAGCCAGTGCTGACGGGCACCGCTCCGTCAGTGGTGCTTTGGGGATTTCTCTCGGCTAAGTATCTAGCCCAGAGATGCACCTGTAAAAGGAGAGCACTGAAAACTGCCGCAGGTCAACTTTTCCTCTGGTTTATGGTTGTAATCCTTCCAGGCCACGTGTGCTGCCCCTCATGTAGCTGAACCCTCTCGGTCCTCCAGAGCTGGCATTTCCTTCTCGTATTCCCCACTGCCTCCCCTGTCCCACAGGAGCTGCCCTGTCCGGCCAAGGGACATGGCGGGGGTACAGCTATCCTGTGTTCCAGCTGGCCGTGTATGTTACCTCTCCCTTCGCCTGCGTGTTTTCCTCCTTGCGTTTCTGAGGATTGCGGAACAGGAACAGAAGGGCCCCTTTGGTGCTGCTTTGTCACCCTGTGTCCTGTCACACCTGGGGCTGGTGTCAGGAGAGGTGCAGTGGGCCTGAGCAGCCTGGCCTTCAGCCAAAAAAGAGCTTAACAGCAGCTCCCTCTGGACCCTGAGGGTGTTTGCCATAAACTGGAGTGAAACCTGTAGCTTGCTTTATTACTTGATGTTTTTAGTTGCTAATACTGGAGGCTGGGTTTCTGTAGAACAGACAGGAGGAGAAGGGCAGTATCCAGCAGAGCTCTGGCAGTCCCTTATCTGACCGACACCTTAGCTGGACTCCAGCCTCTAGAATGGTCTCTCAGCCCTTGCCTAAGCTGTGTCTCCTTTCCTGTAGCCCAGACCCCCTCCTGAAATAACATTACTTGCTCCTCTTAAGGCATTAACCTCCTTCCATGCCAGTGCTTTACTTGATCTGTCACTGGCTCCTGGATGTCATTCCATCATCTTTCTCTCTTCTTCCAAGTTTTCCTTTGGAAGAGCCAGACTTCCACACCTTCTCAATGTGATCTGCTCTCTCACTCCACTTGACCCTCTAAATTATTGAAAAACAGGAGAAGGCAAAACAAACCCAAATCACGGATGTTGCATGTTTTCCACACTTCACTGGAAAATGCCTCCCCTTGGAAGAATCGCCCTATCTGTCTCCCCGCCTCCCGTGCCTGTGGTTAGCTGTGGTGCTCTCCGGGGATGCATGGGGCATTGCCCACCCTGCAGGTCATGTACCTCTAAAGCATCCTTTGAGGCACAGCCAGCTCTGACCGTTTGTCCAGGCACGGGGAGACGGACAAGCCTAGGGAGCCACAGGAGCAGCTAGACCTGCTCTCCCCCCTCCTCTGCATTGCTACAGGAGCCAGCTGCAGCAAGGAGGGGATATCACTGGTTCAGAGCTCCGTCTGGGGCTGCGGTTGTCTGGAGGCATCTACAGAAGTGGCTCTGTCCCAGGATGTGTGCTGCTCACTAGGGAACCGGCGGGAGAGCTGGTGGCAGCAGGGGGGACGTGGCTGTTGTCAGAAGCGTGGAGCTGAGACTGCTTTTGTGCAGCGCTCAGACACCACATAAATGACCTGTTCCCCCTCCTCTGCAGGTGAATCTGGTCCTGAATGAAGGGAAGTCCCTGGGCCTCATGATCCGAGGAGGGGCAGAATATTCCCTGGGCATCTACATCACCGGTGTGGATAAAGGCTCTGAAGCAGAGAGCACTGGCTTAAAGGTAAGAGTGACCCCAGAGTGGGCTGGGGCGGGAGGTAGAGCTTCACACGCTGTGGCTGCAGGGCCATGTCAGCACATAACTGCTGCTGTTCCTACCTCTCTGTCCCCAGCCAAGCAGGGCTGTCAATGGAGAGGTGAGCGTTGTGTTTCTAGGGATGGCTTTTCAGGGCAGGTTCTTTGGACATTCTGGATACTAAGCCTAGAGGGAGCAAGGTTGTTGTGCAGAGAGAAATGCAGCCTTACAACTTCTGGAGTAGGTTGTACTTGCCTTCTGCCTTAGCACACCCCTTGAGATAGCTTGGGGATGTTTTTGTTGTAGGTATCTGAGAGTGCAGCCCAGACCTGGCAGGTGAAGACAGTCACTCTCACCTCCCCGAGCTGGCAGGGAAGAGTTTTCCATTAAAGCTCCTGGTCCTGTGCCCTCTTCCTGCATCTTGCATCCAAACCCATTATGTTTGGAGCTATTGTTTTGCACAAAGCGGTCATAGCCTGCAGCAAATGTGTAGCTGCCGCGATGAGAGGAGGCCAGGCTGGCTGCAGCGGGAGCAGGTGCGTGCTAGTTTCTTCCTGCAGCATTGGCATTTGCAAGGATCGTGTCTTAACAAGCAGAAACAGCAGGATCACCCTTGGGGCTAAAGCAGAGCTGATCTATCAGCAGCCTAACTTGGTGTGACCTCCAGCTACGTCAGGATCCTTCCATAGTCAAACGGGTTCCCAAAGGATGCTCTGTGGGTTGGCTGGGCCCTTCTGAGGCTGGACTGGTCCAGAGTCCTACACTTTCTCTGGAGACCTCTTGTAAAGTGAGATCCTACATCTCTTTCATCCCAGCTTGTACACATGCACACACATCACCTCCAAGCTTCTCCATCCTTCCTGCTGTACCAGGTCTCCGAACAGGATGGGACATCCTGGGACCTCAGCTGTTTCTCGAAGGGGCATTTGGGGTTAAAATTTTCTATGTCCTAGGACGTTCACCAGTAAAATAAGTTGAAAAGGGAGCTATTGGACTTTGGGTGCAGCATCTCTGTGCTGCTGATGGATGGGGCATGTTTGAGACTCAAGTTTCCCAGGCTGTAGCATTTTACTTCATCACTCAGGGTTTCTTTTTTGGTGTTTTTTTTTCTCTCTAAATGACCCAACTCCTTGCAATCACATCGTGCCCTTTTTGCTTCCTCCAGTGCAATCCCATGGGCTCTGAGAGACAGTTCTTTCCCTGCTTCTTGTGTCAGTCAAGAATCGATGGACGTTAAACTCCCTAATGTTCTCTCAATCCCCTGAAATGGTGCTGGACTGCTGAGGATCGAGGGGTAATCTGCTCTGATCCCTTCTCTGTATTGTGAAGTGATATGTTTCTCCCTTGATCAACCCCAGAGAGTTTAGGGCTAAGCCTTCAGCTTTGCTCCAGTGACCCCATAAAGTCACTTAAATCTGTAAAGGCTGGTAGCATTAAGTGGGTGGACAGTCTGGTGGAGACGGCTGTGATTTGGGCTGGGACAGATACGATCCTGTCCCTCAGGTTACTGTGGCACAAAACGTTGCATCTAACTGGGCACTGATGTCACCAGGGTTCCCTTTATAGACAAAGAGACATTTGTTGGGGTAATGCAACCACTTCTGAACTTAATTGTCCGCTGCAGGCTCCTGTTTCTCTCTGCTGACTCTTTTTCACACAGAATGAAAATGCTGAACTTGGAGGTTTGGATCAATCCAAGCCTTAATCTCTCTCTCAGGTCCTTAGCAGGGAAATGGGGTTTTGGACCCTGCCATATAAGAGGGTCACTTGGGCATTAGGGACAAGGAGCTGTGGGAGCATCCTAGGGAGATGGCTGAGTGTTTCTCAGGGCATCAAGAAGTGAGAGCTGCTGCTGGAAACTCCCTGCAGACCATCCTTCTCTCCCAGAGTATACGTTACTCCTCTGGGCTGGCCACCTCACAGCCGCTCTGCCTGCACGCCTGACCAGGGTACGCTGCCGTCTTCCAGGGATGTCAACGTGTGCTTGTTCATTAGCACAGGGTCGTGGTGAGAGGCAGCAGGGACAGTGCTCTGGGATGCGAGGATTTCAAGACAGAGATGGTAAGAGGCACAGGACAATTTGTTTCTGCTTAATAGAGCTGGAAAGAGAGGGACTGGCTCGAGCTGCCCCGGGCGTCACACGGGTGACTTTGCTGAGTCAGAGGACCCGCCGTCTGAAGCAAGCCTCTTTGTCCCCAGCGCCTGCTGACCTTGTGCCAGAGTGTCAGACTCCATCTCAGAAACACTAGAAGCCTGAAAGCTTAAAGGCAGGAAAAGAAAAAGAAGTTGCATTGTTTTCCTAAGGTTCTTTGTTTGTTTCATGTTTAGTGCTTCCATGCTGCTCCAAATCCTTCTCTTCGCTGCACGGGGAAAACTGCTGCTTTTCTTGGTTCAGTCCACCTGCTGGTGAGCTCAGCACAGCTAATGTCACACTGCAAACTCACGCAGGAAAAGTCACAGCAGCGTAACGCACGGTATCCCTCCACCTCTCATTTCATGCCTGGTAGGAAGGCAAGAAAATAATCACATGCACGCTGTAGTCGAAGCACATGGAGCGGTGCGTGCTACTCCCCTCCGTCCCTGCCGAGCAAGGTCCCTGCGCTGTGGCAATTGTTTGCACACCAGAGCCTCTGCTTATTGATTCTTTATATCTCTTTCCTTGCTGTTCTGTTTTCTAGTAACTGATTTGTGCGTGCCAGCAGGCCCATGCTTTTCTGAATGTCAGGCTTTGTGTGATTTCAGATACGCACAGACGCTTCCCACCTGGTTTGTGTGTGCTGCAGGCTGTAAATTCAGAACTGCTTGGAGGTTTGGAGATAAAGAAAGGCCTTTTATATTCTGCTGTTAGACACGGTTGGGTGTAGACTGCATCCACACGCTCCCTGTGCTGCAGGTGGTGGTGGAAGGGATGTGATACCGCAAGGAGGGAAGAACTCATGGGTAAATGTGATTTCCAGATAATTTGTTGCTCTCTAAAATAGAAAAATTGTGGGTTTGTTCCATGTGGGCTCAACCCAACCTTGCTGGGTCGATGGGAAGGTTCCTGCTGGCTTCCCAGGCAGTGAATACTTCTGTGGGTTTTGCTGCTTTCACTGAATTTGTTACCAGAATTGTTTGAGTTGATTCTGCCAGGCTTTTCATTTTAGGGAAAACCTTCTTGCATCTATGGCACCAAATCAGAATTTTTGAATGTTTTAATAACATGTTTTACATGTCCCTTAAATTTTGATTAAAGGGCGAGCAACGTGGTACTGAAAGCCAGTCAAAACCAAGGAAGTTTCTCTCAGGCCCGAGCGCTAAGCTGGCTTTTGTCTGCTGCAGAAACGGGCCATGGTCCTCAGAAGTGGGTCCCAGAGGAGATCTAGCCCTGCTGGTGCCAGTTTGGGTACTGCTGCTCTGCTCCCTCCGGCTTCATGGCCACGAGGCAGAGCGCTCTGCAGGTGCCAGCAGAAAACAGGCTGGATCGCTGCAGTCAGTCAATAATTAAATATTCATACTCTCGGCCTTGGCCTTCTTTATGTTTATTCATTCATAAAACTTCTGACAATGTGTTCTTTGGGCATGTTTTAAAAGATGCTGCCTCAGTGTAAGTTCTCAGACTGAAAAAGGACAGGTTAGCAGAGGACTGCGAAGGAGGAACGTGAGCCGGTCTTGTTTGCTTTTGGCTTCTGTCCTTCCTGTCTCCTTCGTGACGTTCGCAGCAATGCCGTACAGGAGCTGAGCTTGTTCTGCTGGTGTTCATGGCTCTGCTTATCCTGATTTCTTCCTCGTTTATTTTTTCTGATGGTGTATTTTGTCAGGATTTTTTTTAAGCCAATTTTTTTTTTCTCTCCTTGACCTTGTCCTGGTTTCGGCAGCGATAGAGTTAATTTTCTTCCTAGTAGCTGGTACAGTGCTGTGTTTTGGATTTAGTATGAGAACAATGTTGATAACACACCGATGTTTTAGTTGTGGCTGAGCAATGCTTACACTAGTCAAGGACTTTTCAGCTTCCCATGCTCTACCGACTGAGCAGGCTGGAGGTGCACAAGAAGCTGGGAGGGGGCACAGCCAGGACAGCTGACC